TTAACTTGTTGAAACATTTATACAACTTTTCTGTTAATCCAGTCAGGAAAATGCTTGAAAATGCCCATTTTTAAGCCTAAGATTTAGCGCAAACAGTGAATTAAAATGCACGTTCAATACAGTCCATGTGCTGTAGAAAAACAAAATCCAGTGAGAACGTTCCATTTCCACGAAATCTACTTGATCACTCGTCCCCGTGAAATGGCAATCAATGAAATCCATGATGGACTATCTCTTCAGCTTTATAACAAATATTGCAAAATATCTCCTAGCACTTGTGAAGGTGAAACATGTCTATTGGAAGATGACCACAAAATAATTTTGGCGTTTACTGTGAAGCGATAACAATACAAAGATTTACTGGGTGTCTAATAATAGGTGAAAATTTTGAACACAGTCATTTCTCTTCAATTACTCATTCTTTCTAAACAAATGTGGTATCAAACGAAAGCTCTATGTCTAAACCTCCAGATAAATGCTTTCAAAGTGGTCTTCTTACGAATCGCAGCAAGTTACGTGTCGTCGAAAGAAACCTAAACATACCGCGAAGCAAACTGATTTTTAATCGATGAAAACGAATGAATTCCTACGAATTTTGTGAATGCTATCTCTTTTAAGACTAAGATACTGACCTACTTGATGTAGTAAGGCCCTCGGATTTTGATCAAAATAGTCGTAGATTGTTAGAACGTTCTCAGAAGTTAGTACCAAAAGTGGCCGACCAGCACTTTCTACTCGCAAGTAATCCACACTGGTACTTATCAAAAACTTTTCAACCGTTCTAATTATCAACATTGACGTAATCAAAAAGAATGCGACATCAAAAAGTGTAAAAACTAGCTGCAACGCAAAATCGCTGTTCTGAGGTCACACCTTGAAAAAATGAAAAAATCTCTAGCTCATCTTCTAAGAGTCGGATCGCTGCCTTAATGTTCTCACATAATCCCTGGCATAAACCTGTAAGACCATCACTAAAAATTTTGTTGCAGTGGTAATAAATTTCGATTTATTCAACTTTTTGTTTAATGGTTAAATTCGAAATTTTCGAAAAACTGCTGAACAAATTTCCGAATTAGCGACAGAAATCAGAGGTTCAGAGTACTAGCAAACTGACAATATACAAAGAAAAAAAGTTTACGACTGTGTTTGCAATTGCGGGCTATGTTCATAATTTTCACATAATATTAGACACCCAGTAATTACAAATAAGTCTGCAATGCTAGATAGAGATACTTGTACATTGTAAATATAATAGTTAAAACGAACACTTACTCCGATAATATCGGTATCAGATCTGTGATTCAGATAGCTGGCTGAAAGCACGCATTTGAACGAGAAAAAGTTACAAGCGAAAACGTGAAAAACATTATTTTTAGAAGCACATTTAAATGAACAAGAAACTGAATTGAAAGGAGCAATTTTTATCCGACTGGGAGTTTCAAGTTTGATTTACAATCCATAATTAATATGATTACATTGAAAAGAAAATGTTTTTTTCAATTATCATTAAACTCTTTTGATTCCATTACTTGTTTGCTTCTTATTTGGAGATTAACTTTTTTCACTTTTATTTCTTTGTAATACCTTTTCTTTGGCCTCTTCTTGATAAACCTTCAAGATACTGTTGAATGGTTGAGAGGGTCAAACTGGACAATCTAATGAAATATTGATTTGTAATCTGTTTAACAGCCAATTGAAAGTTGTTCAACCTCTTAAATCGGCTAATCTCAACTGGCTAACTCAATCCTGTCTCATCAATCCCATCAATACGTTAATGATTATTATGGGAAGGGAAAAGTAGACAAGAAACAAGAAGATGAAGATGAGAAGAGAGAAAAAAGGAAAGAAAAAAAATGTCCAATAAAAAACAATAAAGATTCGAGTTTTTCCTTGCCTGCAAAGTAAACTTTTAAATGGAAACATTTATCATGCCAATTCCATTGAGAGATCAACATTCATCTGAAAATCCCCGTTACTTACATGGGTCATCATTCCTTTCCCTTTCCTTGTTACCTTCATCATGCTGTGAATAATAGCACAACAGTTGAATGGTCATTTCAAGGGCTTTAATACACCTATTAGCCTTCCATTCATGTCTAATACATTTATCTCTCTTCCAACCTCATCATCAACCTTTTATTCTTTCCTCATCTTCTCTTCACCTTTCTCATCCTCATCTTCATTCAAACTTTACAACTTTCGACAAATTGTTCATCATATTATTAAGCATTTCAATTTACTGTTAAATTGTTTAAAATTACATTTACTTTTTTCTGACCTTTTTTCAACTGAAGTTGCTTCAACAGGCAAAAAAGATAAACATTCCTGACATATTATTTATTGATTATGTTGAGTAAATTTGATTATCATGAGTAGATTTAAATTGATACAGAAAAGCAAGATTGATGAACTTTTCAATTGTATAATGAAACTTGATGAAGGTAATCAGGGTAAGGGAAGAAGAGAAAAAAAGAAAAATTTTCTTTTACATTTTTCTTCAATATTGAAATGAACATCAAAATGAATATAAAAACTGTTAAAAATTCCCTTCACAAAGCTAATTGAATGTTGGCAAAGTAAGAATCTTTCAATTTTCTCATGATTTCCATGAAATTTTGGTCAAAGTTTGATTACGATTCAATGATGTTGTAAGTGAAGAGATGAAAGTTGGACTTTGTAATATCTTGAGTGAAGGAACATAAAAGTTGATATAAAAATAGTTGATGCAAGTTGAGGATAAAAGATAACCAATAAATGAATCATTTCAATTATAGTTGACATCATTTTTTGGCCTCTTTTATCAGCGATAATGAAAGTGTGGATGAAAACAGGGAAACTGATGGCGATGAAAGAATAGGAAATGACTGAAATGAAAATGAAACTTGTAACTCTGATTATGAGTTTGCTTTTTGTTGCTTCAATCTCTTCAAGAGTTGACCCAATGAGAATCCATTGAAACATGGTTTCAAGCAACTTGCCCATTGATATTCATTTCAACCGATAATGTAAAAGTAAAAACTATTTGCAATTTATTTTTCTTGTTATCGTTATTATCATCATTATTATTGTTATTATTATTGCTATTACATTTTGTTATTTTTCCTTGGTTTGACTTTGCTTTCCTTGATTATTTGTTAACCAGCTAAATCAGATTCCCTCAAGATGAAGAGACAAAACTCTTTTTTTTCTTCTTCTCTTCTTCTCTTTCTTTGCTCTCTTCAGATTATGATACAAAGGTGTATCATTTGTATCAATTGGGAATCCAACAAATTACTTGTTAATAGATAGAGTAAACACAGCCACAGGTTATAAGGAAAACATGATGAAAATGACTGGGAAAAGGCGCAATGAAATATTTGGATGAAAATAGATAATACATTTTTATGATTTATGTGTTGCTGGATAAATATTTTATGGCCTTCTGTGTGGTCATTTTGGTCATTTTACTCTGTTTGTCTAAGCATTACTGTTTGCCTTCAAGCTGGTTGACTATTTAAAAGGATGGATTAAATTGCATTCTGACTTGGTTAAGGGGAAAGGGTAGGAAGGGAATAAACTACAGAATGAAAACTTTCCTTTCGAGTTGAGGTAAAAGTTTGCAGATAATTTTATTGCTCGATAACTATTTTTGATCAAGTCTAGCCGAGAAAAGAGTTGATTGAATAAATGTTCAAGAATTACTTTTAAACTTTGTTCAAGAAGAAATTGGGAAAAACTTTTACACTTCGCTTTACCCAAATTCAATATATTCAGAATATTTGAATTTGGGGTTTACTGCGAAATAACGATTTGAAGGGAGTGTAAATTTGATTGAGTAAAGGCTCGATTGGATTTATGTTTATTAAAATGATAGCTAATATTTCAAAGTGGTTGCGATTTGACATTTCTTATCATGTTGTATCTGAGTCAAAGTCATCGAGCGCAGAAACTGCACTTGAGCCAGATCCTGTTGCTCTAACTCGTTGACTGCTGTTGAAACTTTATTAAGCATACAAGAGGTCAGAGAGGCTAAGTGACAACTTCAACTATTTTTATCGGAACAAGTATTCATCTCACCAAAAAGCAGAGCGAAACACGAAATTTCTTCCTTATAGTGTTTCATTCTTATACTCTCATAGTATTCATAGACTTATTGAAACATCCTTCTGCATGTTTTAAGTATTGATATCATATTGAGGTTAATCGAAGTATGATTCTTTGAAAATTGAAGAAAATAAATTCATTAAAATACTTTTTACTTTCAGTTTGAATAAAGTTCAGTTAAATGATTGAGTTTATTTCTGAGAATTATTGCATAATGTTAAAATTATTGAAAACAAGTTGAAACAATAATAATGAGCTACAAAATTTTGAAACTTTTGATGGTTTTTTGTGTGAATAAACACAGAAATATTAAAAAAATAAATGTGAAAAGACTAAAGTATGATAATGAAAAGCTTCAAAAATTGAAATGACATTGAAGAGCTTTGTTATCATTATCTGTATGATGAGCATTTCCTGTTCATGTTCACGGTTGTTTCCTCTCTCAATTACATGCTGTCACCAGATATTACTTGAAGCTCTGAAAAAAAGGCAAAGATCAACTTGAAGAGGGACGATAAAAGTTTTTCACCCAAATTCTGTATTCCTTGTTTTTTTCCTCTCACAATATAATTCATAATTTTGTGATAAAACGAACAGCAACATTAATTGTAACCAAATATGATAACAATTTCTCTCTGGACTTTTGATTCATTTTGTTCGAGTCTCGAGATGTTCAACCTTTTGACAGACACAATGTCAATCAGCAAACAGGTTAACCTTAAAATTGGTTCATTTTAATGAGAAACACTTTTTCACCTTCTTATTGGACTGACATTTGACAATCATTTAATGGCTGATAAATCAAATCATCTCGATTAGACTTTCAAATGATCAACATTTTCCTCTTCTCATTTAGATTCTCATGAAAACCAAATGAACATTCTTTAACTTTTACCTTTTTCTTCTTATTATTACAGGCAAATGATAATATTTGTAAAGGATAAATGCTGCAAACACAATTGACAATCCATTAAATATTTTCCATTGAATCATCATGAATCAAGGAATAATACTTTTCACACTTTTACAAGGTAAGACAATTTAGCCAATAATTCATCAAAATGGAAAGCAAGGAAAATAATGTTTCAAGACTATTCAAGAAGACTCTTTATTAGCATGAAAATGTCTCTTAAGAGGTTGAGATATTATTCTTGTGGCTAACAGGGATTCATTCATATTTGATTAACTATTTACATCAACCATGAAACATATTCCAATGATAATGTCATTGAAGGAAACCATCGAATGTAAAGTGACAATTTTATGTAACATTCATCATAAAGTTGCAACAACAAATCTGACAGAAATTTCATTGTTCAATCTTTTTCTTTGAATTTTTTTTCCAATCGAAATTCGAATTGGAAATTGTTTGCAAAAATTTTGACTTGGAACCTAATTTCATTGATACATTAAATGAAGGTGAAATAATGCTAATTAATGATCATTAAGTGTTTGACATTTTACTTTTGATCAATTACGATAATCAATTTTGCTGGGTTGAAGGTTGGTCAAGACAGTTTAAAGTTTGGATGATTGATGAGGGACAATTTAAAATGATGAAAAACAAGGGTTGAGGTTATTCACCATTGAACAGTGAAGAAGGAAAACAATCAGATTTGATTGAGTAAACTTTTGATTTACTATTATTAGTAAATTAAATTACATCTTTACCTTCACTTTGCTCTTTACCTTTATTAAATTGTTTATCCAATGTAACAAGTCCCATTTATAATGGTAGAAGCAAATCTATTGTTGTGATCAAACAACATTTGACCATCCCATTACCAGAACAACAGAGAGAAAAGAGCTTGACCACAAGTTCAACTAATCATGAATCAAGTTGAGTAGACAGTCAAGAGAGTAAACAGGGAGAAAAAAGCTTAATCAGAACAAATTGCTCAATTACAGGGGAATATCAAGAAAATGAAAAATATATTATCCAATTGTGTTATCACAAACAAGATCACTTTCAAACACATTTTCAAATGATCTTTAGACGCTGTTCAATTAGTCAAGCAAAAGAGTTGATCAGAGAAAAGGGAAAACTCCAAAACTCTGAAGTTTTCATGAAAAGAAAAGGATGAAATTTTGGATAAAAATCGCTTGAAATTTTAACAAGAGATTGACAAATTTCTTTACGATTACATTATTCAATGATCCACTCAACTTCGACTTTTCATCTGAAAAAATAATCTTTTCGAGTTTGATTGATCTCGACTCTTAATCAACTTTGAATCGACCAAAATTTTCATCTTTTCATGTTTACTAAGATTTATATTGAATTTGAAAAATAAATCCACTGGCAAAATGATTAATTTCATGATAATAATTGCCGTTTATCCTCATCATTATGGATTATTGAAATTTCAACTGTTATCATCAATTTCATCATCTGGTGAATAATGATGTCAAAATGATGTTCACTTGAATAACCACAACTTAACTTATAGTTGCCAACATTGAGAATTATAATTTGTTGACTCTCTGAACACCAATTTGATTACATTTGATTAACTCTAAACAAAACCCAACTAAAGGTAAACCTCAACTTTAAATGGTTTCACTGTTTCACTCCCAATCCCATTAAAGAAACACAGAAAGGAAGAGAAAAATAATATTCCAAAAAAAATGAACAATATTGAACAGTTTATCAGTTTAATTTGAGGCAAAAAAGGGAATCAAAAGAAATCTTATTTCAATAGTGACAATGTTCAATTGTTGATACAAATATTAACTGTTCAAATGATATTTGCTGAGAGCACTTTTAAAATGAATGTGTAATACAAGAAGCACAAAAATATTTCCCTTTTCAGGCTTTTCTCTCTCATACATTTTCCCCTGATCTTCTTGAACTTTTCCGCCTCAGTTTGTTTATTCAAATGCTTTTACATTATCATTCATCTTTTTTCCTTTCCATGTTTATAAACAAACAATAACTCAATCAAACTGTTATTTTAGTTTACCTTGCCTTATCCAAATTGAACATTAATCCATTATAAAATGCCATTAAATAATAACATTGATATTGTGACCAACATTGAAATTGTTTCAGTTTTTGATCGACTGTGATAAGCTTTAATCTGGTCGACAATTACACAAATGAATGCAAGTCTGCGGTCATGATTAGGATTGTCGAGTTAACGCTCGACTTTTCTTTGCTTCTAATTGACTTTCCAGTCAATAATATTGCAATGGGCAAAAGTTGAAATGAAATCAATAGTGAAATGAGAGAAAAATAATGTTCCATTTATGGGCTTGGATTTGTTGAAACAAATGAAACAAAACATTGATAGTATAAATTATTTATATGGTTACCTGGGGCGTTGATAAATTAGTAAGCCTTCAGCTTGCAACTAATCAATGAACGGTCAACAGCTAAAAATAATGTTAATGATGATGATGATAATAATTGATAACATTTATTATTGGAAATCGATTTGGTGTCTGTTTAAGCTCCTGTAAGGTTCAACTTGTAATGAACAACTCGGGAAGGAGTGAAAGGCAAAAGTAAAAAAAGGAAAAGGTAAAAACAACAAAAATTGTTGATGAGGTGAGTTAAGGAAGGTGAAAGTAAACTCGGAAAAAAGGCAAGTAATGCGAGTGTAATAAGGATAATATTTAGGCCTGGTTCGAGTAGATATAGTCTACATCTTTAAGCTATTATTATTATCATTTTGTTTCACCATTTGGGACTATTAGTTGGTACAAATATTTTATGTTTGCTATTGATTAGTGTATGTGTGTGTGATTAGTGTTTCTTTCAAATGTTTTGTGTCCTTTTTCGAGTTTCCAGAGTCTCTTGCATCTCGCTGGACAACAAATGATTATTAAATTATGTTAACATTAGATAATGATATTGATGAAGATACTAGGTAAAGAAGGAAAAGTTAAGAAATTAGTTTCATTCATTTGTGATGTTGAATGAAATTAGCAAAACCAGGATTAAAATGATTATTATAATGGTAATGATGTTCATCTAGATGATCATTTTTACCAGTAAATTGGCATTTTGTTTGTATTCAACTAAAGCTAATTCTGATTCGATGAACCAATCGATAGACTAACAAATTGTATTAATTATTAATCATGTTATGTAGACGATTCTATAAAGAATCGATCTGATCGATGGTACGATTAGATACGATTCCGTTTTCTGAATTGAATCGAAAATTTGATCGATTAAAATAACTTCTAGTCGAGTCTGAACAATCTTTTGGGCACTGTTTTGACCACTTTTTGTAGCTTTTTATGATTTTCTGATAGCTGTGTGCAGGCTACACACACAGGCTAAAGGTGAGTTCATATTGAAAAAGCATTCGGCCTTTTATGTTAATTAATCATTTCTATCGCGCTTCAGCCCCCTAACTATTACAATAACTCGAAGATTCAGCTAAGGAGTTGGTAAAAGCAAAACTCTGTATATTTGCACAAACCCAAGATATTAGCTTTGAAGACAGTTTGAGCAACAATTGAAAGCAACTATGATTGCAATGAAAGTAAATTAGTTTCAATATTATTTGATAATGAGTACAGGGCTATTCGACCTCATTTTCATTTTGGAAAATTGTGGGCTCTTTGAAAATTACCTACAGGAGTTCTTCGGAGGTCAAATGAACGAATGACCTTCTATGACCTTGAAAAATTTGCACGCTTTAGACCGTTGTAGTAGGGGGTATCGTCACGTTTATCAAATTTTATTTAAAGCCAAAGAAAATACCAAAGAAAATACCAAAGAAAATACCAAAGAAAATACCAAAGAAAATACCAAAGAAAATACCAAAGAAAATACCAAAGGAAATACCTAAGAAAATACCTAAGAAAATACCAAAAAAAGAAAGAAATTTAACGAAAAAGTCGTTTGTAAATATGATCAAGACCGTCAGGACGTGCAGGACGATGAGCAAGAGATGGAGAAACAACAAGTTTTGAAGCAGTGGAAAGTTGGATAGCTTTGGTCGCAGATAGAGAGGCTTTATCAAGCAAGGGTTCGTGAATCTAAGCGGGCAGGAAGCGAGTTCTTGAATCGCTGTTCAGCCGAAGAAGAAGCAAAGTAGGAAGATTTCAATGGTATGGGCTTCACGAGCTAGTTTGATACCGGAGATAAATTTGATGAGAAAAAGATGGTATTCAGGTCTTCCGTCACCAATAAGTTTCGACCTCAAAGTCAGTCAAAGTCACTGTTATTCGACCTCTGATTCTCAATTGAAGATCATTTTCTAAAATTTCAAAATTTTCGAGATTTTCGAGGTTTTCACTTAATATATATAACTCATGCTGACGCAAGAATCAGAGTGTTTTATACCGTGCAAGCAATCAATTGGTTTCAAAAAATACTGGGCGTCTTTTTATGCTGTATGCCTGTTTGAATGTTGAGGCTACAGAACTTAGACTTGAATCATAAGCTTCCGTAGATTGAAGAACCTTAAGTTCAAACTCTCAAGGTCATTGAAGGCCACTCCATTATTTGACCTCTAAATGACATTTGAAGGTCATTTTCTGAAAGTTAAAACTTTTTCAGATTGTTTGATGTTTATTGCGTTGTCCGCTTGAAAAATAAATGAAAATTTTTCAAACCCATTTGATCAACTGAATGGTATAGAAACAGTCGTATCCTTTGGCCAGTTCCGCCCAAATGACCACCGATAACCTTGAAAATTTGATACAATCAAGTTGCTTGGTACTATTATCTTATTAAGATTAAAATTATTGCTTTGTTCAGAACCATGACTGAAAAATCGCACTTATCAAAATTCTGTTGATGCCAGCATTACAAGGTGGATATAAATGTTATCCAATACATTCAAAGCGCCAGGGATGAATAGCTAGACAAAACAAATAATCCCAACTCGAATAAGGATCTTTAGGCTATAAAACCATAATTAGCTCAAATTTAGATCAATTAAATTGAAGGATTCTTTAATTGCTCACTTGCTTTAATTCATTTCTAGATGTTTACAATATTCCCATCTTTTTTACACGATAAAGTAAAAACTAGCCGTCATATCAAAAAATGACCAAAAATTCAAGAAAGCAGATGAAATCAAGATATAATTTTTTCTCTTTAAAGAAAGTCTTTTCACTTTTTTGCAGATTTTGCCTTTATCCTTTAAATCATTGATTTGTTTTGAAAAATCATTGTCACTTGTTACAATCATGTAAAAACTTGCTGTAGCTGAAAGCAAAACTCAATATTTATAGCATGATAGAAGTCAAGGACACTCTGAATAAATCACTTGAATAACACAAGAATCCGTTGTAATTAGATGTCCAGACATGTTGAAACAATTAATGGAGAATGAAACAAGTTTTATCCAAAAAACGAGATTCCCTTCTGCATTTCAATTACAATGAAAGCTGTTTGAAAATGATTCAATTGAAGCAAAAAAACTGAATGAAAGACAACATGTAATTTGCTTTTGACAGATTTCAATTATAAACACCTTTTTCCTGGTTAAAAGTTGAACCTTTTTCCTATCTTTTATTGAAAAGCACCAAAATGTTATTCCATAAAAGTAAAAGTAAAATTAATATCATCATCTTTACACGAGCAAATGAATAAATTGAATTCTTTTTTCAACACAACGTTTGGTTAGTAAAGAAAACCCATTGAACTGAACATGATGGTGATGATGATGAGTCGAGAAGATTATTTCATGATCATTTGAATGGTCAATAACATTGGTTACTTTTATGCGTCTCTCCAATATATTTAGATGATAAAAAAGTGGAAAAGAAGCTATTAAATGGTTCAATCTTTTTCTCTTCCCTTACCTCAGTCCATCTTCATGAAACATTTCATCCTCACCATTGTTCAACATTAACCCAAAGAGAAGAGATATTCTCAAAAAATCTCATGAAAACAAAGCTAAAAGACTCAAATAAATTGTTTTTTTTTCTTCGTTCTTTTTTACCCAAAAAAAGTTCAATATCAAAATTAAGAAAATCCATTACATTATTAACCTTGAAACATTTTGCATTTCAAGTATTTATTCATAATCCACTCTGAACAATTTCAAACATTTTTTTCTCTCTTTTTCTCTTCAAGGATTAATCTCGTTTATTGACTGCCTTAAAATTGTTATGCTTGAAGTTCCTTCACCTACAATTGCCGGTGAATCAGTTGAATTAACCTGTAGTTATGATCTTGAAGATGATAAACTTTACTCTGTTAAATGGTACAAAGATGGATCCGAGTTTTACCGTTATGTGCCTAAAGACTGGCCTCATGCTCAAGTGTTGCCCATGGAGGGTATAAAGGTTGATGTAAGTGATGATCGCTTGTGATGGTGAACAAGTAAATCCATTCATTTCAACTTTTCCTTTTTGAGTTCGAGCTTATTCCTTCTTCCTCTTTCAACACTGATTAACCATTTAATCCTTTATTAACTGCCTCACTTAACGTCAAGATGATGAGGATGATAATGATAAGCATGCAAACCCTATTAAAGTTTTACCCACTTTTATTTACTCTACTTGTTCATCACCTAATAAATTATATAATGATAATGATAAACAAATAAATCATCTTGTAAAGTGTTTAACATGACAACCATCTTAATGTCAACCTTGCACTTTAATCAACTAATCATTAACCTTAACCTTACTTTTGCCTCTTTTTTGTTCATTAAATTATGAAAGATAATTAATTTGATTGTTTCCTTGTTTGTTCAACTTTAATCCTTTGACATTGAGTAAGTCTAATTGAATTTTGTCTTTTATTTTTATCCTCATTTCTCTCCGTCTTTTCTGTCGCTATATTTAAAGACATCACGTTCAGCGAGTAGCTCTGTTTATCTTCGATATGTTGACCTTAATTCAGCCGGTAAATATCGTTGTGAAATATCGGCTGAAGCACCTTCGTTTAATACGGCCGCTGATGAAAGAGAAATGGTAATTTATGGTGAGTTTTCTTTTTCATTCAATTTATTCTCATTCCATATAACATTTATTAATGAGCAACTTTTTTCCTTCAGCTCTTCCCATTGAAGTTCCCCAAATAAGCATTGGACAGCGAAAGTACAATCCAGGTGAAGAAGTAACTGCCAACTGTACTTCACCCAAATCAAAGCCTACAGCCAAGCTATCTTGGTTCATCAATGATTCACCGGTAAGCGTACATTGAATTTAATATAAATGAATGTAACATAAAACTAGCAACGCAAGTGGTCCAATCGCGCAATATAAATCAATCTTTTCATCATAGAACAATTAGGTTTAGTAATTAACTCTCTCAAAATTTTCGGTTCGCAAATGAAAGGATAACTTGGAAAAGTATCAAAAATCAATGTTTCTACATGTAATTATGGTAATGAGTATACGAAAGACTCATCGCAATGGACACATAGTATTACTTATCTCATATATCCACGTATATCAATACAATAAATGACGTTTTTCGGGAGCTCTCTTCATTTGCGAATCAAAAGACAGCGAAACTTTATTGTTAGTTATAATAGTAAGCCAAACTAAATGGAACACTTACCATTGAAATACTTTCGAAGCACTTGGAAACTTGCCTTGCAAGAGAATCTCGATCTGTTCAGAAGATCGCAAAAGTCTTTTCTGAAGGAATAGAGGCAACTTTTGTATGAACCAAACTTACTCAGCGTAATCATGATGAGCACAGATCGTAAATGACAAAATATTCGTATGCCGAATATACTTTTCAAGTACTTACACATGAGATTCAACCGAATATCTTCTGAAGAAACAAAGCTAAATATCCTACAACCTATCATGTCTTCAGATTTTATCAGATCTTCTCAAAATTATTTTTATATTGAAAAAACCAAATTAAACTCAGAAAATAGTGAAATTTCAATTCTTTCGTTAAAATTGAAACTTTTTTGATCAGTAACAAATTTTATTAGAATCTCTTATTCGCTTGAAACTGGCAAGTTAATCATGGTAGGCCCTCATGTTAAAAAGATATTGATAGCTATCATCATGAAATTTTTTTCCTTCGGATAAACAAACGAATGGAAACAATAAATTCTGCAATGGTTGAAGCAATTCCATTGATATTATTAATGATTGTATCATGTTTTGTTTGCTGTTTAAATTGAATTGAAAATAATGATGGTCAATGAAAGAGAAAAAACGAGTTTTTTCAATGTTTCTTCTTCAACTGGACTCGAATCATGAACTAAATGAACGGACAAGAAGAAGAAACAATTTGCTTGATAAAGTGGAAATTAATGATTCATAAAAGAAAAACTTAATAATTTGTTCAATCAATCATGTAATTAATAATTTATCTCTATTGATGCATCAACAAAATGACAAATGATTTACTTGTGAAGCTGAGTTGGAATGAAATGAAATGGAAAATGATTTGAGAAAAGAAAATCTTAACCACAAGAAAAAAGCAAGTTAACACTTTGTAAGAATGTAAAGAGATAAGACAAAAGTTCAACAAAACATTGAATATTCATTACAATTTACACTTTCATCTGTGACTTGCCATGATATCTTGATGTAAAAAGAAAACTAAAACAACAGAATTGCTAATTTACAATAATCATGGACATTCTAATCACGAACCAATTCGTGGTGATAATATTAAATAGCAACAATAAGAAGCTGAAAATAAGCGAATCAACTCTTGTTAATTCATTTAATTGCCAACTCATGGATTACAAGTTTCCTTCAATCCAAATGTTAAACTGAGCAAAAAGAAGAGCGAAAATGTTTTAATGCGTAAAATGACAATTTGATCAAAGTTAAGAAACTTTTCTTGTCTCATGATTGCGATTAAATTTGGTACGAGTTTTTGGTATCAATCAATTTTCGACTCTTTTTATTGAAACAAATTGCAGCTAATTTTGTTGCTCTTTGTCTTTATTCAATTTACTTTCATCATTTAACATCTATTTACTCCTGCGATTCAACTGAACAGATTGACTTTTGAGACAAAATTGGTGAAGCTAAAGCTAACCAAGTTAACAGATTTTTATTTGAATAAATTTTTCTTTTTTTCTTCTTCTAAACTAATTCTTTTCTCTTTTCCAGGTTGAAGGCTCAGAATTTAAAGCTGATTATTCAGCGACATTACACAATGATGGGCTGGAATCATCATTTATAAGCTTAAACTTTGTGATACAACCTCAACATTTTATTAAGGATATTATTATACTCAAGTGTGTCTCGGTGATAGTTCAAGTTAACAAAAAGACTGAAACTCAGGTGACGTTGTACCGAACGGATAGTCTGAAGAGTAAAAGCGATAATCTTCAGCGAAACTCAGTCAGTGAAAATTTAAGTCAAGGTGAGTAAATTTTGATTTACTTTGGTCAAAAAGAAACATTTAATGTCTTCAATGTTCACTTTCATTGGTACAATTGTTTTCATGGAATTGAGTTTTCACAGGAAAAGAGAAAACAGTTTTGATTACAATTGATAAATGTGTTGGTCAAAGATTGGCAAATGAAAAATGATGACAATAATTATAATAATGATGATGATGAGAAAAGAGGAAAACCGTTGGGAAAATAATATTAGATTGAATAGCTAAACCAAGTAAAATTGAGTAAATTTTTTCTTCTCCTTTTCAGTAGGAAATAAGTTGTTAGTGTCATATGATTTCCTCACTAATTGGTATTGTCCGGCTAATGATGATGATGATAATGATGATGACGAAGAAGAGTAAAAAAAAGAATTTTCAGTTAATGTCTTTTCCACACAGAATAATCTGTGAATCTTATTCGCTGTTCAAAGTTTATCAACTTTCACTCCCTGTTGCCCTCCCAGTGAGAAAGGGATTTTTCCTTTTTCGTTTCTTCTCTCAACACTTTTCAATTTTAACCATTTCTTCAACAGTGTGAATGGCTCAGGCTGGTCGAGAGGCAATGTTGATGCTTGAACTAAGCTTGTCTCAGGTTTAATGGCATAACATGTGCCTCAACAAATGACTGTTTTACAGTGAAACGATTAGTGATAAATTAAGAGCAAAATTTGTTGTTGCCTTAAGAGGAAGGAAAAGTTGAGTTGGCATTCAATTGATTGTCATTGTTGAAACATGGACACTCATCAATCCCCTATCAACATACACTGATTTGAACATCAGTGAACCAAAAGAGTTTTTGTTTTTGCTTTTTACAAGATTACAGGAGTAATAATAGCATGGTCAGAATTCAATGGCTAGTTGAGAAACATGAACAAATGGTGACAACAATACACAATTTATCCTTTAAATGTTGATATTTATTGACATTATCAACATTGTGTCTCTATCCATCGAGATTTATGTTTACACAATAAAAATAATGTTAAACAAGGCAAACTTTTAGTTTCCTCTCAACTTTTGAAAAATCATTTAATATCATTAGAGTTTTTAATCAGCTTCATGAGATTATCAAAGACAATTGTTGGGATTACTTCGATTACTTTTAGCAGCATATGAAACTCGAAAGAAAAAGCGAAACTATTTTCTTCTAAACTTTTTCTTTAATGGACGCAATTTAAGGTCAATTTGTGTCGAGATGAACGATAAAATTGATTGAAAAGTTGTCCAAAGTTATCAATATCAAAATGCTAGTGATTAACAGCTTTTGTTGAAAAGAGTGAATTTGAACACGAAGTTGACAGTAAAACTTGACAAAAGTGAAAAGCTCAGCTTGAACCTTTTCAAAGCTTGAATATCTTTACCATTAAAATGAATGTTAATTTTTGTATCATTTTTCATTGTCATGAGTGAATATTTAATCTCGGCAAATGTGAAACATGAAAATGAATAATCTGAGAAAATGAAATTTTCGTTTTTTCTCATTTTTGCCTTTTGCCATTCTTTGACTGACTTTTATCGAGTAAAGCAATAAACCAATGATTATGAATAAATTGAATTGATTAGCAAAGTATACTTTTGCCTGATCCATTTATGAATGTTTACTTTGTTTGACTTCTTTTGTGGTTGATTAACCTTTCCAGGTTGATTAATTATTTAAATGGCCAACTGATTATGTTTAATCGATACTTATTTATTTTCTTTCCATTCATGTCACAGTCGGTGATTTTGCATGCCCAAGGATTCGATCGAGAAACCATTTAGAATTAATAATGATAATTGTTATTATTCTGATTACATTTAACAATTTCAATCCAATGGATACATGAGAGAACTGGCTCGGAATCATTTCTAATGTATTCCAATGGTAACACGGAATCCATGATGGAACCTTATCCAGACGAAAAATGACCTCAAACTCTATGCTTATGTAAATAACCATGACTTGTTATTGAGCAAAAAAACCTTTTTTCCCCTTCGAATTGGAAGATTAAAGAAGAGAACTTTCTTCCTTTTTCTTCTTCTTCTTTTTGTTGACTGTAATAAAAAAACATGATCCAGCTCATGATACAATTCATGATGATTTTCCAATCGTTTATTGGATTAATCAACATTCTAGTTGAATTTGAATCTCTGTTCATAATGTTATTATGAGAGAATGATAATAAAATTGAAATCATTTACTGTAATCTTTGTGTCTTCCCTCATTTCAATGATCAGTTTGATTGAAAGTTAATGAATTATCATTTATCTGACATTAAGGTGAAACACTTGGGAATTGAGGGTCATCATGAGAATGGAAATAATGGTTAATCATTTAGGACCAAACAGCGATAATGTTTTAACTTGCTTCTTGTTTACCTTCGAGTGTTGCTTCTTGTTGTTTCGCCTTGTTGTTCAAACCCTTTCCACCAAATGATGACATTGACAATCTAATTAATGAAAGATTATCAAGGTGAACACTGTGGGTGGAGCTGATGAAGGTAATATGATGAGACTTTGGGAGGTATAAAATGATATTTAATCAAACAGATAATCATTATGATAATAATAATTACTGTTAATACAAACCACGACTGGGAGGTTAAATGTTGCATCTTGTTGATACAATATTTACAGACTATTTTATCTTTTCCAGGTAATAAGGTTATTAAGGTTTACTCTTGTTTTTTTTTTCTTCTTTTTACCTTTTTTTTACTCTCTTCACTGCTCTCATGATTATTGTGGTTATTATTGAAAGGCGTTTCATTTTATTCAGTAGAACTTTGGGTGTGGTTGGACATTTTCTTCCTTCCTATTTCCATTCAATCTCTTTTTACATTCATAATATATTTACAGCCAATCGACAGACGCCAAGTGCAGCTAACGTGAGTAAAACATTTTCGCAGTGAAAAAGTTTCTCCTCATTCTGTGAATTACTTTGAAATTTTGCTTTACAATATCAAATTAGGACTCTTAAGATTTTCAAGAAACTAAACTTTTCAATTGTGATCAGAGGAGAAATTAATTTTCAAGCAAACTTCGTTTCTTAGCTTAATTGTTTCAAATTATTTCTGGTCAAAAGTAATGTAATCAGTGAAAATGAAGTTACAAACTTGACTCTATCAACTTAATAAAATTACGATCAATGAATCTGATCTACAAAACGGGAATAAACTTTTTGAGCACTGAATGCAGTTCTCGAGATTCAAGGCAATTTACATTCTTGATTCAATGCTAGAATTTCATGCTTTGCAATAAAAACTGGATAAGCATCTTTATCATACAGAACATAACTATTAATATAATATTTATTTGGATTGATCTCTTAATGCTATTATGTCAAAATCGTTCAATCTTTCTTCAAAGTCCATTCAAACTTTACGAGTAACATTAGTTCGAGATTTATGTTTCTGATTTCGGATATGGTTTTCTTAGATGATGGAACGAAAACTTTGCAATGAGTTCAATGTATTAGGTACAGATTTGAGAATAATAAGAGTTTCTGGATTCTCCAAAAGTTTTGATTGACATTAACTTAAAATTGAAACATTTTGTGTCGTTTGAATCAAATGATTGTATCCGATTCAAGTAGTTATGAGGACGAGTTGAGCTGTCTATGCATATTGACTAGATAGGATTAGGTCGAGTCTGTTGCTTTGATTAATCTTGTAAAGTGGCCAAACATTATGTTTCTTTTACTTGACTTTCGACGTTTTTTTATTAATGGCTTTTCTAATTTCTCTTGATCAAGATGAGCTTTTCTGATTAGTAACATTTTCTGTTTACCTTTCCATTTCATCTTGTTAACAGTTTCAATTTTTACAACTTCAATACTCATTATTGAAAGGTGAAAATGATTTCCAACACGAATAAAGTTAATCATGTATGTTTTGCCTCTTTTCATCATAACAAGTGAAAATGAAATGAAAAAGTAGATGAAGAAAGGGAAAAATTAATTATATCATTGTTCATCTTGTTCCATGTCAAGTCTCAATACAATGTTGAGATTGAAAATCCGTGTATTGATAGTGGAAAGGGAATAACACAAATAATGACGATAATAAGAAAGATGATGGTAAAAGGTGAAAAAGAGAGCAAGAAAAAAGGAGAACCCATAAAATGGATAACCAAAAAGATCCAATAAAAATGAACGAAAATCCAAAATTGGCTTCAATGAAATGCTTCAATCTCACTCTTCTTCACCTCGAACCGAGAAAAGGAATTATAAATCTAATAACAGAGTAAATCAAACTTATCCAGTGTTGAGATTTAATCATGACTTTACAACTTTCAACTTGAGCAAACAAAACAGGTAAAAAAGTTGATATTTGCAGGGAATCACGAAAAGAAAAAATTGAAATATTCCAATTGAATGCAATTCTGTTTAACCAATTTAACCCTAAATGAGAATCATAATTGAGATTAACATTTTTCCCTTTTGCTTCATTTACAAAAGCAAAAGCAAAGTCAAAATGAACAACAAAACAAGATGTTAAAGTGTATCATGTTTGCGTGAAAAAAAAACATACAGAACAAGTTGAGCATTTCGTGATTAAATCAGTGTGATGCGTAACATGCAGGTAACAAGGAAAAGGTAAGTTGAAGGTTGTGACGAAGGCTTAGTAAATAAGAGAAGATTAGAGAAAGACAAAGATGAATCTTCTCTTGCAGATGCATGATGATCATCATAATGGTCTTGATATTACGAGTTATCTAATTTGCTTTCTTTTGTTCTTCCCTGTTTACTAATATTATCATCTTTGCTCATCATCATGATTCTTAAACTTTCATTACTATCATTATTACTATTCTTGGGTCTGTGCTTTTTTTCAAGCAATGAATTTTCACTTTCATGCAACAGAAAAAAAGAGTAAAAAATGATGATGAAAAAGAGGGGAAAATGTAATAAATGAAGCTCAAGAATTCAGAATCATTTTTTTCTCTCCTTTGCTCTTTTGTATCTTTGAGAAATGATGTTATAACATGCATAGCATACCTTTTCACCACCAAAGCTCATGATGATGAGCGAATAATGAACAATCATTGGTAATGATAAATTTGTTTGGCCAATCTGTTTTCTGTTTCAAACCAAAAAAGTTTTTCCGCTTCAAATGAATGAATTGGGATTCATCAAATTATAAAATAATGATTGTTCCAACCTTTTCATTCTCAGCTCATTTGTAGAGACATTTTCTTCTGTCAAATTTTCAATGTAAACTTTTCATTTCTTTGGACTTGCTTTACTTGTTCCGTCAAATTGTCACTTGTATTATCATGAGTGTTGATCAGTTTCAAGGAAAAGGAAATGAGCATCTTTTCGCTTTGCAAAATGGTTTGAATAACTGACAAATCTGACCATTCCATTCAATGCATACTAATTTAATTAAATGTTTTCAAACCTCAAAATGATTAGCATTTCCTTCAAAATGTTAATATGTTAAGCTAACAATGACAGTAATAATCTTCTATCTTTTCATTCAACTTCTCAATTTATCTGCAAATTTTGCTGAAAATTGCAACCGAAGGAAAAGCTGTGGGAATGATTTGATCTTTGCGAATTGTAAAGCAACATTCAAAAATATAGCAATTAAAGGACATGAAAAGTATCACAAAGTACAACACTTGATGAGTAGATTTGAAGACTTTGTGTTAATTTGTTATTTGCAGATAAATTGTCACAAATAATATTCTGATCGTATTACAATAATCATTTTGAAGCATTTGCATTGAGCTTTTTGTATGTTTTGAAGATGCAATCGCCTTTTAGCTATTTATTTTCCAATGTTTTCGAGTACAAGATGAAAATGAATGAATACTTTTGCTTCAATTGTAAAAGTTTGAAAACTTTTCTTATTAACTCCCAATTGATTGAGAATCGTTTAAAACGAGGCAAATCTTTTGACTGTAATAGTAAATATTTTGTCCTCCAAACCACTCACGCTTATTATGATCCAACCAATTTCTAGACAATCGGTTAACAATCTTGAAACTCACACTGGATTGATTTAAAAATTTGAAGAGTCTCAAGAAGAAGCTTAATAAGTCAAAGAAAATCGTGAAATGAAATAACATCAAATGCCGATGTTACAAGTTGCAAATTGCTCATCACTTTATGGTCAAAGTTTTTAGTTGCGAAGGTTACTACATTTCTGCAACAGTGAAATTTGACAGAAAGTTTGTTCTTCAATAAAGAATGAAACCTTTTTGCTGACAGCTAATGAAGTAATATGCTAATAATTGAAACATTATTTTATTTGTTTCCCTTCAATGATTGTTTGATCATCTTTTTGACTGAACATCAATGATGTGGGTTAATGCAAGTTAACCTTACTGTTTAAGGACAAGATGTTCATATGAGGACGAGCAAGGCAAATAAGATAATGATAAAGTAATAAGACAAGAAGATCGAGACATTTTCCACTTTCCTTTCAGTCTCATCTTGCACCCAGTCATTGTATCTATAGAAACTGAACAATGAAAAAAGTTGAAATGGAGCAAAAGTATCATGATGATGAGGGAAATGGTAACTGAGGAGAAGAAGAAAAAAACTGACAAAATATTATTTTCTTTTGACCATTATTCTGTCAAAATGTAATACACATTGGATGATGAGAAAAGTAAAAAACAAGCAAATTCATTTCTTTTATTTTGTTTCTCTTTCTTTCTTGTTCTTGTTATTACCTGATAACTCCTTCCCAGTCACCTTGTTATCCCTTACCTTTACAGTCTATTATTATATTCTGTCAATATTTTCCTTCTACTTTTCAGATTATCGGTCTTGTTCAATCATTATCTTTAACCAGTTCTCAATGAATGGAAAGGAAAACAAAATGTTTTAAAATCAATCCATTTCTTGCTCTTTGTAGTTTAACCTGGAATCAGGGAAAAGGTGAAAAACAATAATGTAAATTCATGTTTACATTGATGCAGAACTCGATGAGAGACTAAAATATTTTCACATTTATTCGTCTTTTCCCAAATAAACTGTTCATTTCTCACTCCATTATTATTGAATATGAATTTAATATTCTGTCGAGATGTAAAATAAATTCAAAACAACTGTTTATTTTGCTCTTTGTTTATCTTTACTTCAACTATTATGTTTCTGGTAAAACGTTTTCAATTGAATATTCATTTCATGGCAAGCTGATACTTTGTATCATTTTATACCATGTTGACAAACATTTCCATTCTCATGAAAACTTTC